TTTCTGCTCTAAATGCTGATAAAACTGCAACATTTGGATCAGTTTTATCCATCATGTTTAAAGACTCAGAGGTGAATGGCAGAATGTGCAATTTTGTCAAAAAGCCTTTACAAAAATTTATTCTTATATGAATTTTTGCCTAATATGAAATAAAAAGGAAATTCAACTCAGTGGAATATTGTTGTTAATTTTGATTGCTTTTTTGTTTAATTATATTTCATTTTAAAAATGAATATGTATGAAAAACTTTTTTTTCCTCAAAGAAATTTGAATTAAATTCCCTCGGCCCTAAATTTTCTATTCCAACTAAAATTAGAAACATCAACAATACTGAGACAAATAATTTAAGGTTTATTCAATTCAACTTTTAACTACATTTACAGCTCAGTTCAGCAAACACAGCCTTCAACAAATTATTTCAGCTTTATTTTTTTTATAGTCACTTCAAATTAACAAAACGTAGCTTACTGAATGTGATTCATTTTCAGGAACGGACGTAACAAATTGTAACGTTTCTGTCTGATATTTGGCTCTTCCAGCAGAAAAAAACTCCCCTGAAACTTCCCTGAAAGTACAAAGTTAGAGGACGTCTCAAAAGAGAGCATCTTCTTATTTTTTATTTAGTTTGGGGGGAAAAAGGATTAAACTATAATTTCTGTTTTGTTTTTTTTTTCAATGCTTTTATGTTTATAATCCAAAACTTTAAATAATATCTTATTCGATTTAATTTTCTGTAAACTGTAAATTAAAATAAAGACTCTGAAACTTGAGGCCCCGCCCCCTTCCGAACGTCTGCTCCAATCATGTTCACAGAAAGAAAGAAAGTTTCCATGTAAACAACCACTTCTGTACAAATAAAAACCAAACAAGTTTAGATAGCAAACAATCAAACTGAAAAGATTTCTGTACATTTCATAAAGTCATAAATTCTGATATAATTTCTCTGTTTCATCCTCGTCTTAAACCTTCTGGGGTTTTTTTTACAAAGAAAAGACACCAAATGAAAGGTTTGTCCTCTAGATGGCGCTGCTTTCCGTCCATTCATACATAAAATAGAATCTCCGTTAGTTTTTATTTACACACTTCAGATAATTACAGTTTTTTCAGTGTTTTCAGACTGGAAGCGGCCAAAGTTCTGGATCCCGGCCCAGTTCGGGGCCGAGGCATTGATCGATGCTCGGACCGGAGGCTGTGGGCCCAGAACCGGATCAGATTCAGGACCCGATCAGCGGATCAGAACCGGGCTGGGATCCACGGAGGCGCACGCCCAGAAAGTGGTCCTGAGAGAGCTGTCGGCTGACTGGTGACTGCATGGACGGAATCTGAATTTCAGGAGTGGAGGGGGGGGACGAAAGTATTTTTTAATATAAAGATGGACGGCCAATCAGGGGGCTTGTGTTAAACGGGCTGCAGCTTGAGCTATGGTTTTCCACTTGGTCCTAGTGCTCGACCAATGTCTGTTTGACAAAGTGCAGGGGACATGGACCCCCCCCGTCCCCCCAAAAAATTACGTCCATGGGTGACTGGGTTTCTGGACCCGACTGGACCAACTTGAAAACGCTTCAATGAGACCTTTGTGACGGATCACCGAGCCCAGAACCAGTTCTTCATCTCAGCAGGAAAAAAAAAAAACCTCAACAGAGGTTCCTGAAGAGAAAAGCTTTTATTTTGAAGGTTTGAATCAGATTCCTGTTTGTTATTTATCTGAATTGGCTTTATTTTGGACACTAGTTAGTTTTATCTTCTGATTTAAGATCCTTAAACTTGAATGTTTTTTTTTTTTATCTCTTATTTGGTAGAAATTTATATTTTTGTTAGGTTTAAATCAAAAATTTGGTCCATGTTAAACTAATTTTAAATATTTCTAATTACATTATTTTTATTTATTTATTTATTTTGTCAAAATCTGGCTTCGCTATTGGTTCATGGAAGGTTTTCCAGAATTCGGAACGCAGGAATCTTTCCTCAGATTGATTCTGGTTCTTGGGATCTAATTTCTTTAAATGTTGGAACATTTCAAACTGTCTCGAGGTTCTCCAACCTGTGGAAATAAAGTTCAGGCTCTGGTTTAAATAAAAGGTCCAATCAAATAATTTCTCTTCTGTTCAGAATCAGCTGGTATCGGCTCACCGTCAAATCTATTTCAGTTTTAGTCGGCTCGTTTAGAGCTTCCAGACTCAACCTTCCTGCTTTAGAGATATTTTTGTAAACAAGAATCACTGAACAGGATGAACTAGTCCTCAATGGTTCTGAACTTCCCGGTTTCAAACCAGTTCAACCGACGGAGCCGCGTCTGAACAGAAGCGGTCTCAAGCTGGATGTCATGGTACAGATGGAGGATAAAAAAGATCTCAGTGAAGGAAGAGGAGCAGAAAACGTCCAGATGTTTGGAGTAAAAAAGCAAACTGATCGACCGACTAACAAACCATCATCCATCCATCCATCCATCCATCCATCATCCATCCATCCATCCATCCATCCATCCATCCAACCATCCATCATCCATCCATCCATCATCCATCATCCATCCATCCATCCATCCATCATCCATCCATCATCCATCCATCATCCATCCATCCATCATCCATCCATCCATCCATCCATCCATCATCCATCCATCATCCATCCATCATCCATCCATCATCCATCCATCCAACCATCATCCATCCATCCATCCATCCATCCATCCATCCATCATCCATCCATCCAACCATCCATCCATCCATCCATCCATCCATCCATCCATCCATCATCCATCCCTCATCCATCCATCATCCATCATGATCCATCCATCCATCCATCCATCCATCATGATCCATCCATCCATCCATCCATCCATCCATCCATCCCTCATCCATCCATCCATCCATCATCCATCCATCCATCATCCATCCCTCATCCATCCATCATCCATCCATCCATCCATCATCCATCCATCATCCATCCATCCATCATCCATCCATCCATCCATCATGATCCATCCATCCATCCATCCATCCATCCATCCATCATCCATCCCTCATCCATCCATCCATCCATCCATCATGATCCATCCATCCATCCATCCATCCATCCATCCCTCATCCATCATCCATCCATCCATCCATCCATCCATCCATCATCCATCCCTCATCCATCCATCATCCATCCATCCATCCATCATCCATCCATCATCCATCCATCCATCATCCATCCATCCATCCATCCATCATCCATCCCTCATCCATCCATCCATCCATCATCCATCCAACCATCATCCATCCATCCATCCATCCATCCATCCCTCATCCATCCATCCATCCATCCATCCATCCCTCGTTGGTCTCGCCTTCAGTTCCGGCGGCGTTAAAAACAACTCTTTAGATTTCTATACCTGGAATAAATATGTCAGCATCGTGATGAGCTGTACGAACACAGAACCAAGCGATCCAAACACAACTGGACTGAACTGAACAGAACTCTACTGAAGAAGGAGTAAACAGAACCTCTGTGTGTCTCTGAGCCCTGAGGTTTGACAAAAAGTGCTTTGACCAGCCGGCGCCACTTCCCGTCTCCTGGGTTTATTGCCTTGGACCCGTCAGAACCGACCAATGAGAAGCCGGCTCCGTGCGGAGGTAGGCGGGTCCTTTGACGAGCCGACCAGTCGTTCAGGTGTGACAGCAGGTAGGGAGAAGAATTTCATCACCTCTAAGGAGTGATGTCATCCCATCAGCGCAGCTGATTGGCTGGAGGTCCGGCCAATCAGGTGAAAGAACCATGCTCTCTAAAAGGACCATTCCTGAGCTTTCACTTCAGATTTAACCAATCAGACGGAGGTTTACAGAGTTTTTATCTTCTTAGAAAACCACAGACTGATCCCTGAAGACGAGTCCCATCTAGATCATCTAGATCTTCAAACACTGCCTGGAATCAGAGACTGTCTTCAAATGATGATCGGTAGAAATCCAGCATCTACTCTCTCTGATCCGTTCAGTCTGAGCTCGCTGCCGCCTCCTCCGCCGGCGTCCATGAGTCCCACGCTGGAGCTGTCTGTGAAAACATCGGCGCCCATTTTGCCTGACAACCCGAACTCCCAGAGGAAAAATGAAGCCGGGATCGGCGCCGGCATCAAGGCGGACCCGTTCACCTGCAGCAGGGATCACCTCAGTTGGCGGTGAAATGAAATGATGGCTGTTATCCTCCTTGCTTTAAACATTTACAGATTAGCTGTGGACCGCTGGCGGTCGGTTCCTGGTAGCCTCCAGCTCCTGTTTGATCTGCTGCAGATGACCTGGCCTGCAGCAACCCCCCCCCTCCAGAGTCAGAGTACCGGCAGCTTACTGTAGGGGGCGTCTTCTCGCTGCAGATAGATAGCTCTTTAAAAGCGACCCGTTTGGTCCATGAAGTCAGTGAAAAGAAAAGGCGGATCCCGAAAGTCGCAGTGCAGCTTATCTGCAATCCGACTCTGGTTGAAAGCTGATTGGACGATGCCTGCAGCTTATCTGCGGTCTGATTGGTCCATGATTCAGGATCAGGGATCGGTTCCTAACACACAGCTGTTAAAATCAACGGGGAGGTTCTGCTCCTGATCGATTTACGCCACTCAGTGCTAACATTAGCGCTCATGCTAGCATCACTATCGTCTCTATTCCACCGATCACTCATCTGATGGCATTCACTAAGTGTTGCTGCTTGTCTAACTTTGTACCTAATGTTTCAGCGAACAGTAAATGACAGTAAACCAACCAAAGCTAACTGCTAACGTTGCTAACGCTACATGTAGCTTGACATTCGCACCAGTCCGATTCTCAGCCTTAACCTCGCAAGAAACACAACAAATACGAAGAGGACTCCTAAAGGAACTCCATTTAGTTTTTCCTCATATAAATAATTAAACTAACGATTATTTAGCAAATTGATTAATCTATCAAAATGTTTTTGGATTAATAATTGGATAGCCAAAGATTTCTTTAATCTCAAATGTAAAATGTTTAGTTTTTTATTTTGGGCTTTTATAATTGGGCTGCTCTGTCAGCTAAATGCATTTTTTAGAGTCTCTATACTCAAGTTAATGATTTATTGATGAATCAATTAGTTGATAATTATTTAAATAATTGATTAATCACGATTAATCGCATTCATTGTTTCAGCCCTAAATCAAACGTGAATTAAAAGAAAATTTCAGAAGGATTTTATCTGTGAAATACCAGCTATGACTCATTTAAAGGAAAAAAACTAAACAAATACTGCCATCTACTGGTGAAGAAAGATTCCCATCACCAGCAGCTCATCTCCTTTAGGGCTCAAAAACAACTTTATAGTGGGGAATAATAGAAGAGGCCTGATCCAGTGATGTTTCTCACTTAAGAACATCTGGAAAGAGAGGAACTGATTCTAACCAAAGACTTAGAGAAACTTTAAACTTTAAAGGACAGAAGCAAAGTGTTTCTAATAATGGCAGATTTTAGAGGCAGGCTGATGTCTGATTTTCATTTTTCTGCTGCAGAGAATCGGTCCGATCCAAACTGAAACGCGGTCCAGCTGTGCGTTAGGAACCAGCATTTAGGTTTTGGGTCGATCCGGATGGTTCTGGTTTTTTTCCAGTGATGCAGATCAGTCGGCAGCAGCAGCACAGAAGCAGGAGAGTTTTGGGTTCAGCAGGATGAGGAGGAAAAGGAGCGGCTGTGAGTCTGATGTCCTGAACCTCCTCTTCCTCCGCCTGCCTCCTCTGCTCCTCTACGTGTCTTTGGGCTCCAGCTTGCAGGACATGTCGAACAGCAGGTTCTGGTTGTCGATCACCTGCAGCTGACGGACGTAGGCCTTGGTCTGCAGGTGTGAGGGGGACGTCTCCGTATCTACGGCTACCAAAGAGAACACATCCCTCAGTAAACGCTCCCAGCTGCAGTGGCAGAAACACGCCAGCAGGTGGAGACAGATAGGAGGAGTTCAGACTCACCCAGCTGGGAGCTTCGGAACCGCCTGATGGTTCTCACCATCTCAGCCACTTTATGCTGCGGAACAAACATAGAGACGTTAGCATCAGTTAGCATCGGACCGCGACAAGAACCCAAACTGATCCAGAACCCAGCAGCCCAAACTGATGTCTTTCAGTCATCAATGCTCACATTCAGCGACACAAATCAAGCTGGGCACCGTTTCATTCACAACACCTGTCCCATCAACCAGGAATCAGAAATACTGTAATAATCCCAGGGAGGGATTACTTTAGTTACATTACTCCAACTGTAATAGAGTGACTATAGGACCAGTTTAATAGAACACTATTTCATACAGTATCTATAATTAGGGTGTACATTTCACAGTTTCTAATTTTGCTACAAGACATATAACAATGTGAAATTATTCTAAGCTATTATTTTTGCCTTCATTATTTTTAGGAATTTATAATGCTTTACATTTTTACCTTGTTTTAAGGGACTTTATTTTGAAACTATGTGACCAGGTTTAAGTTAGTAGCTACCGCGAAATACAGAGAAGAAGAGGCTGAGATTGAAATGCAGTAAAAGAAGGAAAGATAGTTAAAAATAAACTTTATTTGAAAGACTTGCACCCTCCGAAGTGGCACAAGGTTAGTGCTTATGTGAAAGACATGTTTAATGTTTTCATGTGTTTTGACTGCTGCTTACCTTATGGCGGCTGTACTTTAAAGAAAAATGAGGATGTCTACAGAGCTGTTCTAAACGATATTTATTATTTTTACTCTTGTGTATAGAAAAGACGCACATTAATCTGTCTAAGTCTAAGATTTAACTTTACACCCAACATCTGAGTCAGAGGTGAACAAACCTACCATCTTCTCAAAGTTGACGAATTCTCCGTGGAACGTTTTGCAGCTCTCATGTAGAAACGTCAAATCTGCAAACGACACAAATGGAGATGAGTCAGTCAGGGGGAATTTACCATTAGGCAATACTAGGCAGGTGCCTAGGGCCCCAAGTTCCTGGGGGCCCCATAAAACTGTGTTTGCATTTATGGTTACAACTATTCCTTATTTGTGCACATTATTTATGTTTTTGATAAAAATGCTTTGGCTAAAATGCCATCAGAACGCTGATAATATTAAGTGTGTCTCAGCCCCCCCCTTCAGCGTCCACCATATTGGATCAGTCCATTTGCTGCACATGTTCAGAAAGGTCCAAACAGACAGCAGCAAACCATTTGAAAACAAACCATGCAAAGAGCAGTGTTGCCAACTTAGCGCTTTAGTCGCTATATTTAGCCACTTTTCAGACCCCTCTAGCACTTTGATTTCTAAAAAGCTCCTAGCGCCAAATCTAGAGACTTTTTTCTGCTACTGGAGACTTTGGAGACAACATCTAAAAGCAGCGAACTCTGCTCTCCAGAGCAAGTAGATTGGTAACCCCGCCTCCTGCTCTCCTCTATCTTGTCTGCTGTCATGATTCATGCAGCTATTATTTCATCCAAATGAAAAATGGAGAACAGATAAGCAGATCATGGCTTGTCTACAGTGAAAAGAAGGACTGGGTTTTTTATTCTTCTCACACTTAAAACAAAAAAATAACAAGAAAAACAAGAAAATGACAACGAGCATCATTCTGCTTCAGGCCGACTGTAGGAAACCAAGGAGCTCAGAGGGAATGTGGAGTCGGTACTTCACTGCTGAACAGGCAAGGTTAATATTAGCATTAGCAGAGCTTTCAATCGCCTGACAAGGGGTAGAGAATGAGAGCAGAAAACTTACTGGCCAGGGGGAGTTAAATATTTTTGCTGTCAACCTTTAACTCCAGTTTTTTTTTTTGCAGTTTCTCACTATGTGTACTTGTGCATCCTTGTGTCTTCGTGAGACGTCATCAGCCTCAGCTCTAGTACTGGACTGTGGCAACCAGCGGAGCTCCGAGGCTAACCAGAGCCAGGGCTAACGTCAGCATTTCTGCTGCAGCCAAGGCTAACGTTAGCCCGTCCGCAGAAGCCAGGGCTAACGTCAGCCTGTCTGCGATAGCCAGGGCTAACGTTATCCCGTCTGCAGCAGCCAGGGCTAACGTTAGCCCGTCTACAGCGGCCAGGGCTAACGCTAGCCCTGGATGCTGCAGATGGGCTAACGTTAGCCCATCTGCAGCAGCCAGGGCTAACGTTAGCCCGTCAGCAGCGGCCAGGGCTAACGTCAGCCCGTCTGCAGAGGCCAGGGCTAACGTTAGCCCGTCTGCAGCGGCCAGGGCTAACGTTAGCCCGTCTGCAGCGGCCAGGGCTCACGTTAGCCCATCTGCAGCGGCCAGGGATAACGTTAGCCCTGGATGCAGCAGACCTCTCTTTGCATAGGCGTGTGTGAAGTACCGCTGGCTCTGATTGAGGTTTGAGTTCTTTTATTTGGCAAAATGCTAATTTAATTTTTTGTTTTTCTGTTTAATGGTGGTCGGTAGCGGCTTTGATGGACCTGTACAGGCTCCACATGCTGCGGGTTCGGTTTGGCCGACTCACCAGGTCCACCTGTTGGTTCCTAACCTGTTCCTCATTCAGTGACTCTTGTCCTATCAGCTGCTTTTAAACCCTTCGAAAGGTGCCGCTCTGTTAGGTCTCCAAGCTCATATCAGAGTCACTCTGATCCTCGGCTCTCATCAGCTGGTTTATTTATAACAGATTGTTTAAAATCTGTTTAAGGAGTAAAATTATTATCCTTAACTTGTTTTTGGTTTCTCCTCCCAGATCACATTCCTCAAATTAGTTTTCATACGATTCATTTTTCACCCTCTTTGGTCCATTCTGTTCTCTTTCTGTGTTGCCATGGAAACAGAGCATCCGCGCTCTCCTGCACGCCATCTTGCATCGAATCGTTTGGCTTTAAGACGTTTAACTGAGATGGATTTCAGCAGAGAAAACCTGGAGTTGTTAGAGAACCCAGCGTGTTCAGACTGGAATCGGGTCAGGAAGCAAACGAACATCCGGGTCTTTGCAGGAACAGAAGATTCTCCCCGTCTGCCTCACTGCAGCTGATGTTGAACGGATGGAAAAAGTTTTCTGTCAGTTTAGATCCTCATATATCCTGCTGAGCAGCTGGAAATGAGGAGGACACTCTTTGATGAAGAGTGTGTGTGTTTGTAGGGGGGGGTTTGCTTTGCAGATGAACAAAGAAATGGCCGGCAGGTCTAATTAACCGGATCTGCTCCTCAGCTTTAGGCAGACACGTCCCCAGCGGTTTAAGTCGTACCTGGGAATGAACTCATCACCTCTGCAGAAGTCTCCCTGAGGAACCTCTGGGATGAAACCGACGCAGCGATAATCTCTACTTGGAGCAGACCTGAACCGTCCCTGAATGTTCAGCAAACCTCCAGGGATCCAGTATATCTACAGATTAGATGCTTATAATAATGGCTCATTTCTTTCCTCACGCTCCAAAGAAACTAGTCCATGCATTTGTTACTTCAAGGCTGGACTATTGTAATTCTTTACTATCAGGAAGTCCACAAACTGTAGTTAAAAGCCTTCAGCTGATCCAAAATGCTGCAGCCAGAGTTCTGATGAAAATGAAAAAGAGAGATCATATCTCTCCTATCTTGGCTTCTCTTCATTGGCTTCCTGTTAAATCAAGAATAGAATTTAAAATCCTCCTTCTCACATATAAAGCCTTAAATGGCCAAGCTCCATCTGATATCAGAGATCTGATTGTTCCTTATGTTCCTAACAGAGCACTTCGCTCTCAATCTGCAGGTTTACTAGTGGTTCCTAGAATTTCTAAAAGTAGAATGGGAGGCAGATCTTTTAGTTCTCAGGCTCCTCTCCTGTGGAACCAACTACCAGTTTTAGTCCGTGAGGCAGACACCCTGTCTACTTTTAAGGCTAGGCTTAAAACTTTCCTTTTTGATAAAGCTTCTAGTTAGAGTGGCTCAGGTTATCCTGAGCTATCTCTATAGTTCTGCTGCTATAGGCTTAGACTGCTGGAGGACATAGGGACCCCTTTTTCATCATTCTGCTTCATTCTATCTCTATTCTCCCACTCTGCAGAATCTGTTAGTTCAATCTCTAACGTTCTGCTCTCTCTGCTTTTTCTCATAGTAGCTTCATCTGGTCTGTTCCTGTTTGGCTGTGACTCCATCCTGGAGAGAAATATCAGCTGTGCTGCTGCCATCAACACCTTTGTTTCTAGATGTTGGAGCTTGGCCTGTTTTCCAGTGTAGTCCTGTTTCTCTGACTGTGACTAACTGGATGTGCTCTCTTCATCCTCTGACATGGGAGCTGGCTCGGAGCTCGTCTGCCTGGCTGTGTGTTTCCTGGACGGGGCCGCCTGTGGAGCTGGTTGACAGTTGCCTTTTGTATCTATGCTTCTTTTTCTATGTCTGCTTCTGTTTCCTTGAACCCCAGTGGGCCTCAGCAGATGGCCGCTCACACTGAGCCTGGTTCTGCTGGAGGTTTCTTCCTGTTCAAAGGGAGTTTTTCCTCTCCACTGTTGCTACAAGCATGCTTAGTGTGAGGGATTGCTGAAGAGTCAATGAGTCGATGCAATCAGCTGGTTTTCCTTAGATAGAAAACTTTGAATCAATCTGACTGGATGATCTGGTGAACTGGAAAGTGACCTGAGATGACATGATGTGAATTGGAGCTATAGAAATAAACTGAATAGAATTTAATCTGCAGGTTGTGAGTCACCCTTTAGCAGCAGCGGGGTGAACGGGATCAGCGGAGGCCTCAGGCTGGTCATCAGGTCTCTGTAGGATTTGTGGTTCCTGGAGGGATCCTGCAGGATTAAAAAGTCAGAGGTAAGCGTGGCGTTTATGGACTGGCTCGGCTCTGATGGCTGCACGCTGAGCAGTTACTCACAGCGAGGCTTTCAAACTGCTGAAACTGCTTCCTGAACTTCCCTGGGAGACCCTGAACACATCAGAACAGATTTCATTATAGAAACAGCTGCGGTTGGGCAGCAGCCGATGGACGCTAACGGCGCCGGGTCGTACCTCCCAGGTGAGCCTCAGTCTGCTGACAGCTGGGTTATCCAGACCCAGAACCACGGCCAGGAAGGACAGCAGGTCCTGCTGCTGTTTGCAGCTGAAACGTAGAAGAAAGATGTAATTTTACAGCTTCAACAGCAGGAGGCAGCAGAGAGCTGAGGAATAAATCAAGGGATTCAGTTCAAACAGAATCACATTAATATCTGTTGATAAAGATTTCAAGGATCGTGCCAAAACACAGTCACATGGTGTTTCATCCACATGCCTTCCAATTTAATAAAACATGTTTCAAAAATAATTTTTTCGCAAGTACTTCTTGTTTAATAGCTTTGTAAACAAATAAAATGAGATTTCAAATTCCACCTGACATGTGTGACTCAACAGCAGGTATTCATTTTTAGCCCCGCCCACTAATGGCCGCCATCACTTAGGAAACTAGAGGCTCAGACCTTTCCAAGGAGGGGTCAGAGGTCATTGTGCGACCATTTCAGGTGATGTAACCGGCATGCGTTACATAAGCTGCTCTGTTATTCTTATTTTCTATTCAGTTTGGTGATTTTATTGGTAAATTTCAATGAACCAACGACTAAATCTGAGGAGCAAAGACTTTGCCTCATGCTGAAAGTCTCCAATAATGGAAATCAGCTTATTTCTCTGAACAGATTCCCTTTTATGAGTGGAAAAATATTTCCTCCTAGCACTCTGCCCATTAAACCTTTGTGGAACAAACATGCTTCAACTTCTTCAGTCCAGATTAGCTTGACTTATAGTCAAGATGTGGATCTATAAAGTCTGAGGTTCATCCAGAGTTTCTAATGGGCTTTCATGGTGTTTTGCAGTTTATTTTGGAAAAAAACAATTGGCAAAGCTAAATATTTCTAATTTTTTCTTAGTTTAATCACCTATAAATCAGAAATGGTGACATTTAAAATAGCGGTTCCACCTGAAAATATTCCTCAATGTCTTTCTGTCACATAAACACAAACAATTCTATTTAAATGTATAGTTTGGGAGCTGAACTTGCTTTAATTCACTGGATTAATGGAATTTCAGGTGGAATTTGCCCCTAAGAGCCTCTGGGCTCAGGGGGTTAAACTAATCCGTTTTTTTTTATTTCAGTTTTTGAGTCTTTTCAGGTTAATTTCTGTATAAAATTAAAGATGTAATTAAAAATATTCTAATCTGATGATGTTTCTTTATTAAAATGTTTGAGGCTAAGAGAGGAGCCGTCAGACTCACAGCGCTGCGATCTTGATGAACTTGCGCAGCAGCTGGATCCTCTTCGGCAGCGACTGACACTGCAGGATCTCCGTGGCGACCCAGTGCTGCACCTCGCTGCAGCGCTGCAGTACCAGCTCCAGGTTTAGGGGGCGCCAGCGCGACTGCTCGCCGTGAAATACGTAACAGATGAACTCCACCTGCAGGGGGCGCATTTCAAAACGAAATTATTCGGGCAGAATTTGATTGATCACTTTTTGTGTCGATTCTCAACCAGACGCTGAAAAGTTCAGCTGACTTTTTTTTTCTTATCGGGATTTTCCGATTCTTACATTCAGTTTTCTTTCATCAGAGCATCACGGGTTTTAAAGCTTTCATCAGTGGCTCCTCTCACCTCATGAACGCAGCTGAAAAGTTCCCAGTCGAACACCACCAGCTGATTGGCCACTTCCTCCGCCGACATGTCATGAAGTTTGCTGTCGCCAGGCGTCCAGTGGATCTCCTCAGGAAGAGGAAGCTGCAGGAGGTCACATCAAAACGAAGCGTCTTAAATTTCTCTTACAAACTGAATCCAAGTTTACGGCGAATTTTGGCAGCAGAGCTGCGAGAGGAAAATAGATCACATGTTGTTGACATCGAGTTATTGGTAGGGACCAAAAGGTCGGTCCAAAGTTTTGTTAGGGACATGTCCCTATTGTCGCCATGTCAACCTACGCCCATGAGAGAAAGGATCAGAACCTGCAGGCCTGCATGAAACAAAAAGAGCAAAAGGCAGGCTCCTGTTCGGTCAGACCAGCGTAGTCAATACCCGTTTATCAATTTAGTTTGGTACGAAAAATAGTCTTTAAACTTCCTCAACGGGCATGTATCCCTTTAGTCATGTACGATAAAACTATTTAATTACTTACGTTTTGGTGTTTTTTGATAACCTGACTCTGCCAGATGGATTTGCTCCGCATATCCATCTGGAAACCTTCCGTTGAAGTCATTTTGGGAAGGGGCGAAAATACTGGTTAGCTGATTGGCCTATGTTGGTGATAGACGGGCCAAATAAACCAATCAGATCAACGGAGCATATGACGTACTAACAGCCAGGCTGCTCTTGCTGAAACCAGTCGGGAGAAGAGCAAAAACATCTTTTCCTCTGAGAAAAGCCTCCAGATCAGTGTTTTCCTCTTCTTTCAGTGAAGAAATACTCTGTAATTCCGATAAAACTTGCTCGATAGCCACGCTAACGCTAGTTTCATCGGCTGACGCCGCCATGTTCTTTAGACTGAACTGTCGCGCTTCTCGTTGCGTCACACCTCAACCCGCCTCAAAGCCAACGCTGATTGGACGTTCGTTTGGTGAACGGCTCCAAATTTTCTTTAACGGAGAGTCTCCAGACTGATCTGCGAGTGAAACCTTGAAAGCTCGCAAGATCAGGATGGTCTCACGAGGCTAGTTTTTTTAAGCGTATGGCGGTCTGACCTTAAGTTATTTTTTCGGGGGTGTTTTGTTGGTGAAGATTCTCAGTCATCCAGGTTATAGTCATTCCAAAAAAATTAAAAATCAATCCTCTGGACTTTGTTTCTAAGTTTGAAGACGTTTCTCTTCCATCCAGGAAGATTTTTCAATTCAAAATGTCAGAAATAGTGTTTAGTTCCAGGTTTTATCCAGCAGCCCAACAAAGCGTGGTTTTAGTTTAGAAAACATGTAAATAGAAACGGATGAACGGGTCCCCCCCTTTGGAATGGGGGTCGTTTGACTTCTTTGTTAGCCTGCAATGCCCCATACCTGTCTATGTCTCTGAAATTAGGTCGTTAGAGGGAATTGTTGGCCTGGATGAATAGTCGGACTCCTCTGCTCTCCTGTAAAGGGGCTGAGATGATGTTTTTCTTTGTCCATGACTAAAGGGATATTCATCCGTTTACGTAGTTTAAAGTTTATTTTTCGTACAAAACTGAAGGTATAAAAGTAAATCGGACGTCTTACGCATTCGTATTGACTGGGAATGCTGGTCTGACGGGGTATGTTCATCTGACAGAACACCTCCACCAGTGTTAGCTGTGGTCTCACTGGATCGCTTTACAGAGAACTCTAAGAGGTCAAAGGTCAGTGTTTTATGCAACAGGTCAACAGCAACTAATTATGTTTTTCGCTACTCCATCCATCCCGGAAGCACGATCCGTTCTGCGCACGCGTCAACAGATATACATCAGTGTCCATAAATAAGTTAAATATGGTACTAAAATGACTTATCTATATCCTTAAAACGCTAAAGAATGCTAATACACATCTTTAAAAAAATGTTTTATGACTTTTCTGATGCAATTTTGATGCTTTTTACATTTTCCCCATTAAACTGCTTCTCTGACGTCATAATGGGACACGATCAGAGCAGTCCGGCTAAATATGATTAAACCAGCTTTATCTGCATTTTAGTTGTTTCTTTCTTTATATTATGCAATATATAGCATAATGTTAGCACCAAAAGAAAACATAAAACTCAAAAAGACTAGATTTATGTTTAAATCCAAAGCTGATAGAGTTAGCTCCCGGAAGTAGCGTAGCATCCCATTTCCTCTGCAGATCAGGCAGAGAGCGATAACACAGGAAGGATTTAAATGCTTTTAATTAACCTTTAATACATTATAATTTAGTATCCTTACTATTTTTGGGCAGAGAAAATGTCATTTTGGTCTTTCTAACAAAATAAAAACTGAGGGTGACCCGGATGTATATCTATAAATGAGCTGATGGCGCATGTGCAGGAAAATGACCATATTTGGTAAAATGAGCTTCCTATTCCAGTCGTTCGTCTGCATCCATGTCAGGGATGGTTTCAGTTTTTTATTTAATATTTAAAGGAGGTTTGAAGTGGTTTAAAACCTGCTAAAGCTGCAATAAAAGGTTACTGAATTCATTTGGAGGATTAAGTTATAATTTACAGGTAAACCAGGTTTCTGTGAGTAAAACAAACCTCAAGCCAAAGAGCAGAGTCTGTAGAGAGGGTTGAGAAAAGTATGTTTGATGCACTGCTTATTATCAGGACAAACACAAACAGAAAGTACAGGTAACCCTGATTCTAACTCCTGTCATTTTCCACGGAAGAAAAACTGCCCAAACACGTTCAACGTTATCGGAAGAAATTCCAGGGCTTCCAATAAACATCGGCTCCTTTTGTACTTTTGGTTATTTGTTTATCAAATCGAGCTGAACTTCACTGCTTGTGTGTCTAAATTTGGATCCATTTAAATTAATTTAAGAAAAAATGTTGACCCATCAAAACCCAGCGGGATTTGATTCAATTCCTTTTAAAGGAGAAAATACTGCAGGTAGAAGGTGCAAACGTGCTGCAAGTACATACCTGTGGTGCAAACTCTAAAAGTTAGCCTAATGCATGAACATTTAAAGGAAAAGTTGCTCATATTCAGAATTCAAACTTTTTAAAAGTTCTTTAAATCTGAAATGATTCCATCCTGTTCAATAAATGATCAGTGTTTTTAATTCAGAGTAATTTTCATGTGAATGTGCTTTACTGGAGGCATCCATGTTTGTCAAAGAACACTACTGCCACCTACTGGTTAGTGACGTCACGGTGCGGTATCGGCTGTTGATCAAGTCCCAGTGCTGTATCTGGTGTTTGTCACAACGCGCTATTATCCAAGTCATCTTGAAAACATTCTTCTTCCAAATGTTGGCTACATATTACGGGTTTTTTCTCTGGCCAAAAGTTCGATGGCAAATCCTCCCTCTTCAAGTTGGCGATCCAACGACCAACCCGTCCGTGGAGGATCAGGAATCAGAAAGGTGGAATAACTCTTTTTTTCACTTTTACCCGATGTATTCCAGCATCCAGCTGCCATGCACGTGGGCATTGTCAGTTTCACTATAGCTCTGGTGAATTTCAATGGTGAAGTCCTCTGGAAATCTTCAATAATTGTTGTTGATTGCAGATGTGTCTAGTAGTTCCCATTGATTTAGCTTGTAAAGCGGGGAGAATGGCGCTAGGCTTACCGCACCGTGACGTCACTGCTGGAAGATGGCAGGAGGGAGGGGCTACTATATTTGGGTAAAGATGGCCGCTCCCAGGCTCAGTGATCGCAACGAAAACTATTGTTTTGTTTCATTTTACTTCTTAGGCCCCTGCTGCTGTGATACAGGTGATGGAGCTAGTAGTCAGTCAGGCAGTGAGGTAGAGATTATGGCGACCATGACAGTTAACCCTTTAAAGCCCGCCACTTAACACATCTAGGGCTGTGCAAGCAGCCTATTGGCGGCGCTGTTGCTAATAGTTTGAGATGTGTACCTGGGGTTATAAAGTTATTATTTGGTATAGGTTTACATTTCAGGACACGCACAGCCAGATTCGGGATTCGGGACAAAAGCTTAGAATTCGTGACTTTCCCGATTTTTTCGGGACATCTGTTCACCCTGGAGGCGCAGATAGTCGCCTAACTCCTGCTGCTCTCTGATGTCGTGGTTGAGGTAACAGAGTTCTTCTTCACTGGTTGTGGTTTTCCCAAAAAATCCAAAATCCTTTTTTTTTTTATTAGACTATGTAAATTTACTAGTCTGCTGCGGGGAAACCTCTTTACTCAGCGACCACTAGCTTGCTTGATGTTGCCATGACAACGTAACTTTGGTGAACTTGAGTTGGTTAGGCTATAAAAATAATTTGATTAAAATCAAATACATGTAATAGTAAAGTAAAAAAAAAATAATTTCACAACATATTCATAAGAAATTTATAAAATTATAAATTGTGCTGTTTTCATTAAAATTTTATTTTTATTACATTTTTAAAAAAAGTCTCCCTCTCACCACTAGGGGTGCTGCGGCACCCCAACTTCCCGCCATGTTAGCTAGTCTCAATTTATTATTTTTTTTGGAGGGGAAGTGATTATTTAGAACCAGAAACTGCTTTACTGTCCAACATTATGAGCAAAAGAAATTTCACTTTGGTTTCAACACATCATCTTTATAGGAAAAAAAACATTAAAATTAAATGTTCTGCTTTCAGACTGAAATATTTCCAAACTGAATTTCTCCCTGTTTTTATCTGGCGTTCCTAACAGAGGATAACTGTCTTTATCTTTAGTTGTTTTGTTTTGCAGGATCAGCTTCAGCTAGAGTGGCTCTCAGAGATCTCCCATTTCATTGGCTGCTGTTACTCTACAATCAATCAAGCTTTAAAAACCAAATCAATAACATGGATGCTCACCAGGGAGTCCAGTTCAGAGGGTTCACAGGCGAACAGGTGGGTGTTGACTCCCAGCGTGGTGAAGACGGCCTCGTCGCTTGGACGGAAAACGGCTTTTTCTACAGACACAGTTGGTGACGTCATCTTCAGACATCAGCAGAAAGGCGGAAAAAAACAAACAAATGCGGGTTTACAGACCTCCGGATGAGGTGACGGCCACCAGTATGAGGTTCCCCGGTAGAACTGGTTGGTCTTCACTGTACTGGAGCTTCTCTTTGACCAGCGCCAGAATCTCTCCGACCCGACAGGACAGGCGGCTCCGGATGGTGACGTATGAGTGATCCGGGGTGTACACCCTGCAGAAGACTGCAAACACCCCCGAATATTTCAGATATTAAATAGAATTTAAAATCCTCCTTCTCACATATAAAGCCTTAAATGGCCAAGCTCCATCTGATATCAGAGATCTGATTGTTCCTTATGTTCCTAACAGAGCACTTCGCTCTCAATCTGCAGGTTTACTAGTGGTTCCTAGAATTTCTAAAAGTAGAATGGGAGGCAGATCTTTTAGTTCTCAGGCTCCTCTCCTGTGGAACCAACTACCAGTTTTAGTCCGTGAGGCAGACACCCTGTCTACTTTTAAGGCTAGGCTTAAAACTTTCCTTTTTGATAAAGCTTCTAGTTAGAGTGGCTCAGGTTATCCTGAGCTATCTCTATAGTTCTGCTGCTATAGGCTTAGACTGCTGGAGGACATAGGGACCCCTTTTTCATCATTCTGCTTCATTCTATCTCTATTCTCCCACTCTGCAGAATCTGTTAGTTCAATCTCTAACGTTCTGCTCTCTCTGCTTTTTCTCATAGTAGCTTCATCTGGTCTGTTCCTGTTTGGCTGTGACTCCATCCTGGAGAGAAATATCAGCTGTGCTGCTGCCATCAACACCTTTGTTTCTAGATGTTGGAGCTTGGCCTGTTTTCCAGTGTAGTCCTGTTTCTCTGACTGTGACTGACTGGATGTGCTCTCTTCATCCTCTGACATGGGAGCTGGCTCGGAGCTCGTCTGCCTGGCTGTGTGTTTCCTGGACGGGGCCGCCTGTGGAGCTGGTTGACAGTTGCCTTTTGTATCTATGCTTCTTTTTCTATGTCTGCTTCTGTCTCCTTGAACCCCAGTGGGCCTCAGCAGATGGCCGCTCACACTGAGCCTGGTTCTGCTGGAGGTTTCTTCCTGTTCAAAGGGAGTTTTTCCTCTCCACTGTCGCTACAAGCATGCTTAGTGTGAGGGATTGCTGAAGAGTCAATGAGTCGATGCAATCAGCTGGTTTTCCTTAGATAGAAAACTTTGAATCAATCTGACTGGATGATCTGGTTGATCTGGTCTATAAAGTGACCTGAGATGACATGATGTGAATTGGCGCTATAGAAATAAACTGAATAGAATATCCAGAAATCCGTCCTCATGGATGCTCTAGCTCCATCTACTGGTGGTCTGTCAAACTGCTGCCTGTTTTGCGGCAGAAAGTCTGAAAAAGTTAAACAGTTGGGTTGTTCTTTGTGTTTGAAGTTAAAAATCCAAACCTCAGATGTGCGTTTGCTCAGGGTGTGTCTGTTCGTGATTTGTTTATCCCAACCGCAGATTGCAGCTGTGTTTGCATTTGGATTGTGTGTGTTTACAGATCAGAGCGCAGCAGTGTGTGTGCAGGTATCTGTGGGCGTCGTACTTTCGTCTGAGCCTCTGAAGGCCTCGCGGGGCTGCAGACACGCATCGATACGTCTGAAGTGTCTGAAGAGTGGACGGACCTGCTTCTTCCTGCTCTCCTTCTCCTCATCGGAGCTGCGAGAAACAGACGTACCAAAATGAAAGAGAAACCAGCACAGAGTGTTGATAAATACGAAATGTTCTCATGTGTTCCCACTGCAGCCGCTCTGAGTCTGGTTCTTACGGGCAGTGCAGGATCTCGGTCCATCGCTGGAGCTTGAGGACGTCCTCCACCAGCTCGGGGTACCGAGTCAGCTCCTTCACCGCACACGAGTACAGCTCCTGCACGAAAACGCAACACGTTATTCACCTCAGACACGCTGGCGACAATCGCCAGTCATCCTGGACACAGTCGATCCTAAAAGGCCAAAGAATAAGATCAGGATTTGAAGCACAGCAGACGTTTAAGGGAATTCTGTCCCTTTCAGAACCAGTGCTGGAGATTCCCATCAGGCTTCTCTCTGAAGCGTTACTGTAACAGTGAATGCTGGAGGTGGCTGATAATTATCAGGAAGACATGTTGAGGCCTGACTGCATCCCATTCTCTGAGGCAGATTACACAGTTTTACTGAAAGGCTGCAATCAGGAAGGAGTTTCCTGTTCTGGAAACAACAGAAACCCAGAAACACTGAACCCTGTAACCGTGGATACCAAACAGAGAGAGACAAGGAGTCTGGCCTAAAGCAGATCTGCAGATGAGCCCCACGGTTACATCTTTAAGGAATCTGCATCATCCCTGAGTGGATCAGCAGCTGCATGAAAAAAACAAACATTTACTGCCTTAAAGCTCTAGTCTGCGGCTGTTTCTCACTATGTGTACTTGTGAGTTCTCGTGTTCTCGTGAAATGTCATCAACCTCAGCCCTAAAGCTGTTCAGATTCTAATCTAATCTAATCTGGGGACATTTCCAGCTCATAGATAAAAATAAATATAGTTAATGAAAATTAAAATAGGAAACGGGGACAATGATGTTTTCATCCATTTTTTTAGGGATGCAGGATATTGGGATTTTGGCCGATATCCGATATGCCGATATTTTAAAACTCATGTAGCCGATAACTGATATCGATACCGATGTTAAAGCTGGACAAAAATAAGTAGTCATTGAAAATAGCAGTTTTGTTATCCATTTCTGACACTTTGAAAAATAATATACTCAAATAAATTCTCATATGCTGATATCAAATAGATTTTTAAAAACGCTGTATCAATCTATTTTACTTTCAAAATCTCGTGAAATTTCATCGTTCTGTTACAAACTCTCGTGATATTTTGCAAATTCTTGTGAGATTTTGTTAGTAAAATAGATCGATACCGCGTCAATATATCAACATATAAAAATATGGCAAAATTTCGTGAATTTTCGGGGGATTTCGTAGCATAACGATGACATATAGCAATATTTCATTAGTAAAGAGATTGATATGGTGTTTTTAAATGGCAATATATCAGCATATGAAGATATTGGGATATTTTAATGTATCAATATTTTTTCCCTCGTCTTTAGAAGTTTTTAAGTCTGTAAAAAAGAAGTTTTTGAGGAAGAAGAAGAAGTAGTATTTTTTATTATTTTTTTTTTTTACACTTTAGAAACTCAGAAGCTGATCAAATATCGGGTTAAATATCGGTGGGGGGGCCGATGTCCGATATTCCGTTTTAAGGCCGATACCGATAGGGGGCCGATTATATCGTGCATCCCTAATTTAAACGGTTATTACGGTAGAAAGAGCACGTTAGCATTCTGCGCACAGAAACAGCTGTTAGTGTATAGACGAGGAGCAGAAAGCTCCAGTTTTAAAACAGATGAGGAAGTTGGTTATCACAGCTGGACGCAGCTACCCTGTGTTACCCCGAACTCCCACATCCTCCGCCCCCCGCCCCGCCTCGCCCCCGCTCAGCACCTCCTGCTCAAAGCCTCCGCTGCTCCTCTCGTCCTGCTCTGCTCCCACTTCCTCTGATCTCGAGGAGAAAATGCGCTATATTATCATTAAATTTATAGGAGCAAAACATGCGGAAATGAACGCCTCATTTAATCTGACATATTAAAAAAATCCCCATCAGCATCCAGTAGATGTTCAGTTTCTGCCCAAATATTTTCCTTTTGTTGTGGATTTTTGTCGCAGGGATTAATATGATCATATAATCTTTACATTTATATCCTATCACAATAATAACAGCTTATTTAAAACAAAAGCACAGCTGTTTCTATGAACACATGAATAGAAAATACGTTTATGATTGTGAAAATGTATTTCTATATGACTTCACTATGACTTTTTTTAAGGACAGATTATTTTTATGCCCTGAGAGATTATTTTTCATTCATCTAAACGTGTAATAAAATAAAACATGTATATTTGGTGTGGCTGCTTTAAGCTGCTCATCAGAATGATCCACATTTATAGATGTGTTTTAATAGCTGTAATTTAATCTGAATATAAAAATCTAACCTAACTTTTTTAATAGTGAGAGATTATAATCCAGGCTGCAGGAGGCGACCCAATGCTCTGCAGCTGACCATGATGCAGTAGAAACAACTGGAGGACATTTATTTTTATAGTTATTTAGAAAAATATATAATATTTTTCAATTTGTATATAAATATAAAAAAGTTTAATTTAAAATTTTTTGAACGGAAAAAGAGTGAAATTCCTACAGACTCTTCATTGATGCCAACTGGCCTGAACACAGAAGACAGAGACTGAATGATCAGATAGCTCTAATTAATAACCACTATTGATTGATTAATATTATTTTATTAGGAAATGGAAGAGCCACATTCCTGGATTTCACACTTTGTCCTTGTTTAAATGTTAATAATTATGTAAAAATTAGGGATGCACGATATAATCGGCCCCCTATCGGTATCGGCCTTAAAACTGAATATCGGACATCGGCCCCCCCGCCGATATTTAACCCGATATTTGATCAGCTTCTGAGTTTCTAAAGTCTAAAAAAAAAACTTCTTTTTTACAGACTTAAAAACTTCTAAAGACGAGGGAAAAAATATTGATCCATTAAAATATCCCAATATCTTCATATGCTGATATATGGCCATTTAAAAACACCATATCAATCTCTTTACTAATGAAATATTGCTATATGTCATCGTTATGCTACGAAATCCCCCGAAAATTCACGAAATTTTGCCATATTTTTATATGTTGATATATTGACGCGGTATCGATCTATTTTACTAATAAAATCTCACAAGAATTTGCAAAATATCACGAGAGTTTGTAACAGAACGATGAAATTTCACGAGATTTTGAAAGTAAAATAGATCGATACCGCGTTTTAAAAAATCAATTTGATATCAGCATATGAAAATATATTTGAGTATATTATTTTTCAAAGTGTCAGAAATGGAAAACAAAACTGGTATTTTCAATGACTGCTTATTTTTGTCCAGCTTTAACATCGGTATCGATATCGGTTATCGGCTACATGAGTTTTAAAATATCGGATATCGGCCAAAATCCCAATATCCTGCATCCCTAGTAAAAATGCAACATTTCTCCCTCATTCATAAAACGGTAAAATCTGGGACATTTCCGGGGACAGGTGGTCAAAAACAGGGACTGTCCCTGGAAATCTGGGACCCTACTCCACTGGCCACCCCACTCACCAGTGTAAATTATAGTAGCATCAGTTTAGCATTTAATCCCATTTTAATCCCATTCTGCCAGAGACGTAACATAAAAAAATCCAGTAACCAAGATATGAGGAGGAGTTTACTTAAGTCAGGTTTACCACTAAAGTAGATTAAAACCCTGAAATTATGGCTTTTAGTTTCAGTGGCCACCCCAAGATTTTTAGTGGCCCCATCTGGCCCCCCTAGGAAACATTTCTGGAGGCGCCGCTGCCTGTGTCATGGTGAGGGTGTTAATCTGTTAATTTGATCTGAATTAGGCTGATCATTGTGATAAATGTTTGGTTTGTTCCCAGGTTAATAATAAAAAGGCTCTTTTTGACGTGTTTGTTTGACTAAAGATGAGGAGCAGAAATGTAACATAAACCAAACTAATCAACAAACAGTCAGACAGACCATTGGCTGCAGCTGCAGGAGGACATAGACTCAGATAAAACAGAATGGTTGAAGCTAATCTGGTTCAGTGGTTCTCCAGGATCAACAAGTTTTATCTAAAGATGTCTTTAGAACTGATTGGTGACCTTTAGTTTATATCATCAGATAGTTATTTTAAGTAGAATTATAAGTTGTTTTGTTGCTTTACGGTTGTGATTTATGATCATAGACTACCAGGCTTAGTTTGTTTGGATCTATGAAAGTTCCTCATTATAAAAAATAAGAGGCAGTAAAAGGAAAACTGAATGAAACAAGATCTGAATGATTTGAGAATTCTGAATCATCCAGTTCAGAATTAGTACAAAAAAGTTCAAAAACAATCCGCTGGACTTTGTTTCAAAGTTTAAAGACGTTTCTCTTCCATTCAGGAAGATTTTTATTTCAAAATGTCAGAAATAGCATTTAGTTTGACCCCCTTTCAGAGACATAGACAGGTATGGGGCATTGCAGGCTAACAAAGAAGCCAAACGACCCCCATTCCAAAGGGGGGGACCCGTTCATCCGTTTCTATTTGCATGTTTTCTAAACTAAAACCAGGCTTTGTTGGGCTGCTGGATAAAACCTGGAACTAAACGCTATTTCTGACATTTTGAATTGAAAAAGCTTCCTGGATGGAAGAGAAACGTCTTTAAACTTAGAACAGGGTTTATAACTTTAACTTAATGCTTTTTAATGCTCTTAGAAATGATTTTAATGCCACCACCATGTAGCCGTCGACAGGCTGCAGCCAGGTCCCGAATTCCTCGTTTTTCAGCCACTTTTGTTGAAATTTGCTTTTCCCCCATTCTTTAGCTTTTTCTCCGACTCAAGCTTCTTTTCTGAACATACAGGTTTGCGACGCAAATATATCGTGATATAATATGACTGACAAAATTTTTTTTATAAACATTTTTTGTAAATAAAGATTTTTAAAAGCCACAATAAACACATTCAATTAATTTTAATGCCAATTAAGGCCTTAATTAAAGAAATTATCATTTTTAATGACCTGCGGAAACCCTGTAGAAACAAAGTCCAGAGGATTGATTTTTATTTTTTTGTAATGATCTCATATTGATGGAGGAAGAGATAATCAATGGTTTAATGTCCATTTATTGGGTTGTTTTTATTGTAGCTCCAATTATTGTGCTGATTAGGCTTTTTAGTATTTAATCAGGTGAGATAAAAACAACAATATTAATAATAATAATCATAATATGTATGATGAGATAATATGTGTTTGGAAGGGATATTATTTCAGCTTTAGATTAGTGTTAGATTGATAGAAGAGGAAGATATAATCTTAATATCTGGCAGCTGGTTTTGGATCATATTCCTCATTCTCAGATGGATCCTGATAGCCGCTCAGTTTGTTAGCATGCCACCCGTTCCTTCATAGACAGGAAGTACTATCCTAACGTGTAAATGATAATCAGTGCAGTGAAACCGTTTGTTGGAGCCTATTAAGAATTAGATTAATTTATTTTTTGCTAAATTATTAATGTTAAAGCTCTAAGGTTGTGTGAATGGTAGAGCTATTGTTTATTTGTTTCTGTATTGGTTTTGCTTTGACCCTCTTCCTGGTCAGTCCGCCTCCTGCTGAGATTAACAAGTAGAAGCAGCTGATGAGGCGGATCTGATTGTTTTTTCACACACATCACTTAACTTTATATTTGAATTTTTTGTAAGTCAACTCTGAGAATATTTCTGTTATTTTTTATAAGTAAAGAAAACACCCCTATTTTGAAACAAGAAAATTATCCACGAGTGCTTTTTGTTTTGTGAGTCGAAAAACCTCCTCCTAAGACTAATCTGGCATTTTTTGATATTTTGGGAAACTATTTTGATGCATTTATTAAATATATGTATGCTTTATACTCCGGTGTATGATTTATGTATGTTGCACTTTGAAAACGTAATAAACCTTTATGAAAAAAAGAAAGAAGTTTGAATGAGAGCTGAGGAAAATAGGAACATTAATGGAAAAGAAGGAAAAAAATCTACTTCAAGTAAAACAGAGATCAGGTAGAGAGAAAAGAAGAAGGAGGGGGAAGAAAGGCGCTAATAAACATTATCTATTGATTAATTTCATACATTTTAGGAAACAGAAGCGCTGCATTCCTGGATTTTACAGTAGATTTTTTTTGTTTAAATATTAACAAATATGTAAAAATGAATGAAAGCATCACTGTTCCTGTGTCCTATTTTCATTTTGATGAAATGTATGTATTTTTGTCTTTAAATTTTTCCTGATTGGATTCAGGAATCTGGTCACTTTATTCATATCTGCATCGTTAAAGCAGAGTCATGGCTGCTGGGAAGATGTGACCTGGAATCATTCTGACTATTGCTGATCATGGGTGTCACATGGTACCTTTGGGAAGCTGTTGCTGCGCTCTCCTTCCTCCTGCAGCAGCTCTCTGTAGGTGTCCAGGTACCTGAAGGCCATGTTCAACACGGCCTGCTTCCTCTCTGCTGCGCTCATCTGCGCCTCTCCATCTCTCCGCTCGCCGCCTCCTCCATCCGCCTCCAAGGTGAATCTGGTGTAGCGTTAAGGCGGAAACACGGCTGGAGCTCCATTCTGAAGCTCAGACCAGTTTAAACCCAGAGCATTTCCATATAAACCTGCATCCCTGCTCTGTGTTCCAGCAGGAGGAGCGTCTTTCAGCTCAGAGAGAGACGCCACCATGATGACCCACATTACACTGCAGACTCTCCTCCAGCTGCCTCTCTGTGCTCCTTCCTCTCTGCCTGATGAGACGCGTTTTTCTGCTCTACGTTTGAACAATGCTGACAGTTTCAGCTACATTTCCTGTGCAGCTCAGATATTCTTGGCTTGCAATAATCTGGTCTGCGCTGTTTAATCTGCATGGAGACGGATGCACGTGTTTGCATGAGGGATCCTGAAAGTGTCCTTTTCAGCTGATGTTCATCCATCTTTATAACACAACAAAAGAAGATTATTTCTGTCCATTTCTTTCACTCCAAACGCCCACATCCCGCTCTTCCTCTCCATCTCCCTGTGGGGGAGGATTCACGCCGACTGATGGAGAAAACTAGCGGTTTTCATCCCAGCGCAGATGTGAACTAAGAGCTTATCAACAGTTTTTAAAGTCAAAGGAACCGAGAGGGAAAAAAGCAGGGAAACAGCGGAGATGATTCAGACTCTCATGGAAGCAAATTGTTACCATATTTCAAATGAAAAAGCATTTCCAGAAATGCTTTTTCATTTTAAGAAAGTGGCTGCATTATTTGAATCATAAATGAAATTAGTAATCAATCATCCTATTTGCATTTTATTCTTTAAGGCTGCACATTTTAATGCCATAATCAAGGAGAAAACACAGCGGGCATTGCTTTTTCTTTTTCATGGTCTGCCAGCAAAGTAGGCTACTGTCCATAACTGAAAAAATAAAAAGCAGCCGCTCTTCCTCGGGTCCTTGCTGACCGGGCTACCCATCTTGTATAGTCAAACAATGCAGCATATAAAAAAAAAATAATAATAATAATTAAAAAAACATTAAAAAAAAAATTAAAAAGAATAAAAAAAACAATGCAGCATTTCTTGAAATGCTTTTTAAAAGTTTACATTTCAAATTGAATTTTGGTATTTATTTGCTGGGCTACATTTTGAAAAAAATGAATCTCAAATGTCTTTTTCATTTTAATTAAGTAAAAGGATGAGCAGTCTAGAAGAAGAAAATTAAAATGCAAAAAGGATGATTGATGAGTCATACAATGTTAGCCTGGGTGCCATTCCGAACTTAGTCCCGCCCACAAGGTTTGAGGTCGGGAAGTTCGGTCTGGCATTGCTCCATAGTAGCGCGAATATGATCGCCCACTCTCTGGTGATCCAATCAAATTGTCAGGGCGGGCTTTATACGATGATGGACAGATGATCAACAGTAACGTAATCAACCACGTCACCAAAGCACGCTTGGGAGACAACAACAATGGCTGCCGCTGGAGAGTTTAGGTGAGTAGATTCTGCTATTAGGTCTGTTCTAGAAGATATCGACAGCAAATTAATTTTAAAAGAGGAACAGAGAAACGCGATCAAGGCTCATCATCTTATTCTAGACGTGCAACTTCATGCTTTGATTTTTGTTGACAACAACTATGCCTCGCTTAACATACGTCACGCACTCCGTTGCTCTTATTGGTTGTAGGTCTATCCAATTGAGTGCAGAGGCATTTTTTTTCCTGATTCGTTCGAAACACGCCCCATAATCACAGCTCTATGGAGCAGCATCAGACTCATATTCTGACTAGAATTGAGGAGGACTACGTCAGGCTAATACAATGCAGCCACATTCTTAAAATTAAAAAGCATTTCTGGAAATGCTTTTTCATTTGAAATATGGTAACAATTTGCTTCCATAGCCTCTTGGTGTTAAACTTCACTGTTCTGTGACTTTTGGAGCAGGAATGAATGAGAAACAGGCAGGATGAGAATCAGCTGCTCATCATCTGGGAAGCTTTAGATTTCCACCTGCAGATCTGATCAGCTTCCAGGGTCCGCATTAAAAATGTGGGCTGACCGGTCGGCCGCCTTTCTGTTCCAGCCTGAGTCATTAGTTAGGCGTAGCTGATGAACACAAAGCGCTGGAGGCTGTAGAGCCTCAGGGAAGGTTGGTAGATGCCGAACATACCGACGCTCGGCACGGTCTCCTTTAACATCAGTCCCATCATGTTCCTGGATCTGCGTATAGTTTCATTAAATGAAGGAAGGGCAGCGAGAAAACTTCCAGCGTGGGTTTAAACCAGGGCTTAACTAATCAGAGTACTGGGGATTAATTGATCATTGAAATAATCGTCAACTAATTTAGTAATTAATTAATCATTAACTGGAGAGCAGAGACACTAAAACATGTCTTTAACTGAGTTACCTTGAGCAGAATTATACAAAAATTAAAAAAAAAAACGTTTTGCATTTAATATAAAGAAACATTTTCATCTGTCAATCTGCTCTTTCCAGAGCTCCTCAAGTGGAAAACTTTTAGTTTAACCTGATTTCATTTTGTAAAAAGTCCTTTTTAAAGGGGTCATAGAAAGAAACCCAGTTTCCATTGTTTCCATGGATGAATAACGATGGTTCAGTGGGTGAAACGGACGTTCAGAGAAGTTCAAACCCCATCAACTCCTCCTTTGATCTCTGCAAATCAAACTTCCGTCATGAAACGGGCGAATCCAAACGAAGCACCGAGTCGACGTAAACTCGGGGATGTTGCCTTATTTTGTTCTGCCCCGAAATTAGCATCCAGACCAGCCGATTGGTTCACGGCCCAGGAACATGAATAGAGGTTCAGGGATCCCTGCAAAGTTTGATGCTCAGCTGTTCGTTTGCTCGAAGCATTTTACCGAAGACAGCTTTAAAAATCTTCAACCGCAGCAGGAAGTATGATTCTGTGGCTAAGCTGCTGATAGCAATGCTAGCATATCTATGGACCGGACCCCAAAGGGGGGCGGAGCAACCAAACCCGACCCGGTGACTGTACGCTTCCCCTGCCTGCCCGTTAAGGCAGGGGGGGGGGGAACGCGGGGCCGCCGTTGTCCAAGCTACCGTCACCGGGTCGGGTTCAGTAGCTCCATCCCCCGCTGGTTCCCTGTTTCGACGAAATGCTGCACTGTAGGCGACCAAAATCTCGAACAATTTTCAAATCCCCCCCCCCCGGAATTTTTTTTTTAGGTATGAAAAGTAGGACATGTCTGGGAAAAAGAGGCCGTCTGTTTCAGTAAGATGTTTCAGTGAGTGAGTGCTTGTTGCTATGATGCGTCTTTGCTCAGCAGCTTCCCTCGTTGTAAACCAACCAATCAGAGCACAGCTCATCTAAATAATAATGATCAAACCATAAAAGGAAGAAAAGCTGTGGTTTCATTCTAGGGCTTTTAACCAGGCTGCATTAGGGCTCATAGAACAGCTTATATGCCATTTTCAGCCCAACCAATGTTACACACCCTATTAGAGACCTGAAGGACCAGATACCCGATAGAATCATTCTATCACCCTATTAGAGACCTGAAGGACCGGATACCCGATAGAATCATTCTATCACCCTATTAGAGACTTGAAGGACCAGATACCCGATAGAATCATTCTATCACCCTATTAGAGACCTGAAGGACCAGATACCCTATAGAATCATTCTATCACCCTATTAGAGACCTGAAGGACCAGATACCCGATAGAATCATTCTATCACCCTATTAGAGACCTGAAGGACCGGATACCCGATAGAATCATTCTATCACCCTATTAGAGACTTGAAGGACCAGATACCCTATAGAATCATTCTATCACCCTATTAGAGACCTGAAGGACCAGATACCCGATAGAATCATTCTATCACCCTATTAGAGACCTGAAGGACCGGATACCCGATAGAATCATTCTATCACCCTATTAGAGACCTGAAGGACCAGATACCCTATAGAATCATTCTATCACCCTATTAGAGACCTGAAGGACCAGATACCCGATAGAATCATTCTATCACCCTATTAGAGACCTGAAGGACCAGATACCCTATAGAATCATTCTATCACCCTATTAGAGACCCGAAGGACCAGATACCCTATAGAATCATTCTATCACCCTATTGGAGACCCGAAGGACCAGATACCCTATAGAATCATTCTATCACCCTATTGGAGACCTGAAGGACCAGATACCCTATAGAATCATTCTATCACCCTATTGGAGACCTGAAGGACCAGATACCCTATAGAATCATTCTATCACCCTATTGGAGACCTGAAGGACCAGATACCCTATAGAATCATTCTATCACCCTATTAGAGACCTGAAGGACCAGATGCCCTATAGAATCATTCTATCACCCTATTAGAGACCTGAAGGACCAGATACCCTATAGAATCATTCTATCACCCTATTAGAGACCTGAAGGACCAGATACCCTATAGACTCATTCTATCACCCTATTAGAGACCTGAAGGACCAGATACCCTATAGAATCATTCTATCACCCTATTAGAGACCTGAAGGACCAGATACCCTATAGAATCATTCTATCACCCTATTAGAGACCTGAAGGACCAGATACCCTATAGAATCATTCTATCACCCTATTGGAGACCCGAAGGACCAGATACCCGATAGAATCATTCTATCACCCTATTGGAGACCTGAAGGACCAGATACCCTATAGAATCATTCTATCACCCTATTGGAGACCTGAAGGACCAGATACCCTATAGAATCATTCTATCACCCTATTGGAGACCTGAAGGACCAGATACCCTATAGAATCATTCTATCACCCTATTGGAGACCTGAAGGACCAGATACCCTATAGAATCATTCTATCACCCTATTGGAGACCTGAAGGACCAGATGCCCTATAGAATCATTATATCACCCTATTAGAGACCTGAAGGACCAGATGCCCTATAGAATCATTCTATCACCCTATTAGAGACCTGAAGGACCAGATACCCTATAGAATCATTCTATCACCCTATTAGAGACCTGAAGGACCAGATACCCTATAGAATCATTCTATCACCCTATTAGAGACCTGAAGGACCAGATACCCTATAGAATCATTCTATCACCCTATTAGAGACCTGAAGCACCAGATACCCTATAGAATCATTCTATCATCCCAGATAGAATCATTCTATGAACCCTTTAAGGAACCTTTGGCTATCCAATTATTTATCGCAAAAAAGAATCCTCTGATTAAACACTTTGCAAAATGATTGTTAGTTGCACTGATCATCCTGCTCCTACAGAACCTCTCCATCGGACCGGGCTCAGGCTCCTCCCCCTCAGTGAGGTGACGTTCCACGTCTCTACAGCCAGCAGCTGCATGCTCAGACCTGGTCATCGAGGCACCCTGAATGGACGCCACCCAGTCCTCCCTGCACCTGAACCCTGCGGATCCCTCTGCTGGAGGTGGATCCTCTAGAGGTCGGGCCCACTGTTGGAGCTGCGCCCCGACCCCAGGCCTGGCTCCATGTTGGGGCCCTGGCTGCTCCATGTTTGTCAATGTCATGGACCTTGATTTAACTCTCTCCATGAAGGTCTTCTGTGCTGCTCGTAGTCCAGGGGTGGCCAATTCCAGTTCCTGGGGGCCGCTATCCTGCAAGGTTTAGATCCATCCTTGGTCCGACACACCTGAATAAAATTGCTGAGTAACCTCCTAAGAATGCATTCAGTTCCGCCAGTGTCTCAATCAGCTAATTATTTGAATCAGGTGCGTCGAACCAAAGGCACTTTTAAAAGTTGCAGGATACCGGCCCTCAGGAACTGGAATTGCCCGCCTCTGACCCGTCTAACCCGTCGCCTACGAACATTTTGCTATGGGAGACGCTACCAGGGGCATAATGCCCCAGATATCATACCTCCTAGGATCATCTGGGGACGCAAACAACCCCAAAATGTTAAGGTAGTTAGTGCATATTATCTAATTATTGTTTTTTTTATTTGGCAAATCATTTTATTTACCTGCTCAAATTAAGGGCAGGTAAATAAACCTATTTTAAGAATGCCCAGTGCAGTGTGTCTGGTTTCCTTCAGGGAGGCTCTGGGATCCGGATCAGATACCTTCTGAACATCTCCCAGCATCTGAAGTTTGCTCTTTAAACCTGCTATGATTGAAGACAAATCAAAGTGTAACAGAGGTTCTGTCACAGCGAAGGGCGTTCAGGATCAGGCTCCGAGGAGGAATGTTCCCTTCTCACTCCTCTGGAACAAAACAAATGGAGAGAAGGTGGGGCAGGACAACCTGGCAGCGTCAGCCTGCAGGCAAGGAGGAGGGAAAACACGCCCTGCAGCCGTTAACACCCTCAGAATCAAACCAGAAGCTCGTCCCTCATTCCGCTCGCACTGAGCACACCCATGCGTGAACCTGGGTGTGCGCACGTGGCGCCGCAGCGCCATGAGCGCTTTGGTTCAGTCAGAGCATGTGGAGGAGAAGGATACTGCTGCAGCAGGACCTGCTGGAGCCTGTCCGCCGTCAGGAAGATGGGATGTGTCAACATGAAGTCATCCAGCAGGGTTTCTGCACACAAACACAGAAAGGTTAAATGTACACAGTGTACCTGAAGGCAGCATCAGCATTTCAAACATTTCAGCCCCGAAGTCAGAGAGAAAAACTGCATTCAGACATGCAGAGAGCTTCTAGAGAGCAGCTGCAAATAGAGGAGGGTTCTAACAGAACCTGAGCTGGATGGTTCTGATCCAGAACCGGGCTCTGATTATACGTTCAGCCTGCAGAGAGGCGGCTGTAATTTACAGCAGCAAACCTGTGGTCAGAGTGACTGAAATACACGCTGCTCCCTGTGTGTGAGAGCAGGAGCCATGCTGCAGTGGGCGGGTCCAGCCCAGGCCCACCTCTCTGCAGGCAGTTACCATGGAAACAACACGGTGCCAACAGCGAGAGGATGGAGATGGAAATGTGAGAGAAGAAGAAGAAACTGATAAAAAAAAAAAGAGAAAGAAATCATGAGTGTCTTCTACAGGAAACCGGATCAGAACCGATCTGCCACAGCAATTCGGCCCGGTTCTGTCTGACAGGTTCTGGTCGTCTTATTGCAGGGAAGATAAAACATTTAGAACCGTCGATCCAGACAGGAGGATTTCTATCAAACCGAGTCCAAAGGGAAACCGATACGGACCTGATCGGTACTGATCCGGTTCGGCTCAGAGGCAAAAACAACAAAGGACCCAGTTCATTCAGTCAGAACTTTCTCTGGAAGCAGTCTGGTCCGAAACCCAGAACTCCAAACCAGGAAAACATAAGACAGGAAATGAATCTGAACCAGAACTGATTCAGGATTCGGTCTGAAAGGTTCTAAAAGAACCAAAACCCGGTCTACCAGCTAAAAGTAGGACCCAGTTAGACCATCAGTCCATTCGAACCAGAACCATTTCCTGCAGAGAAAAAATAGATAAACTGAAGAACTTTAGTCTGGAAATGTCTCAATGAACCAAAGTCAGTCCAGAACTGGACTAAAGCCAGACCTACGGTTCTAACCCAGTTCTAACAGTCTATTCTGAACAAATGGCTCAAACAAGGTCCGATGGGAACCAGGAGACCCAACATGGTCCGGAAATTAAGGTCTGGAGTTTTCACCAAGGCAGAACCAGCTGGGGTCAACCAGGATGGTCCTGCCTGGACCTGCCATGTTCCAGGTCCAGGACCTGATCCTATCCGGTTCTGGTCCTGCCCGGACCTGCCATGTTCCAGGTCCAGGATTTGATCCTATCCGGTTCTGGTCCTGCCCGGACCTGCCATGTTCCAGGTCCGGGACTTGATCCTAATCCGGACCTGGTCCTGCCAGGACCTGCCATGTTCCAGGTCCGGGATTTGATCCTATCCGGTTCTGGTCCTGCCAGGACCTGCCATGTTCCAGGTCCGGGACTTGATCCTATCCGGACCTGGTCCTGCCAGGACCTGCCATGTTCCAGGTCCGGGACTTGATCCTATCCGGACCTGGTCCTGCCAGGACCTGCCATGTTCCAGGTCCGGGACTTGATCCTATCCGGACCTGGTCCTGCCAGGACCTGCCATGTTCCAGGTCCGGGACTTGATCCTATCCGGTTCTGGTCCTGCACGGACCTGCCATGTTCCAGGTCCGGGACTTGAGCCTATCCGGTTCTGGTCCTGCCCGGACCTGCCATGTTCCAGGTCCGGGACCTGATCCTATCCGGTTCTGGTCCTTCTCGGACCTGCCATGTTCCAGGTCCGGGACCTGATCCTATCCGGTTCTGGTCCTGCCCAGACCTGCCATGTTCCATGTCCAGGACCAGAACCGGATAGGATCAAGTCCCGGACCTGGAACATGGCAGGTCCTGGCAGGACCAGAACCGGATAGGATCAGGTCCTGGACATGGAACATGGCAGGTCTGGGCAGGACCAGAACCGGATAGGATCAGGTCCCGGACCTGGAACATGGCAGGTCCGAGCAGGACCAGGTCCGGATAGGATCAAGTCCCGGACCTGGTCCTGCCAGGACCTGCCATGTTCCAGGTCCGGGACTTGATCCTATCCGGACCTGGTCCTGCCAGGACCTGCCATGTTCCAGGTCCGGGACTTGATCCTATCCGGACCTGGTCCTGCCAGGACCTGCCATGTTCCAGGTCAGGGACTTGATCCTATCCGGTTCTGGTCCTGCCCGGACCTGCCATGTTCCAGGTCCGGGACCTGATCCTATCCGGTTCTGGTCCTGCTCGGACCTGCCATGTTCCAGGTCCCGGACCTGGAACAGGTCCGGGACCTGGCAGGACCAGGTCCGGATAGGATCAAATCCTATCCGGTTCTGGTCCTGCTGGGCAGTGTTAGAATAACCGTCCTCCCAGCAGAGGCTGGCGTCTGGTTTCCAGCAGGTCGTCCTTCTGCGGGACAAAGCAGAGGGACGGTAGAGTCCGACCTCGGTACCGACCCGGTTCTATTCTGTGACAGCACATGATGATCCTCCATCCATCGCTCACGTGGAGCAGCTGGAGGTTTTCCCAGCTGCCGCGTTCTTCCTCCCACTCCTCCTTCTCTCCCGGCGTCTCTCAGAGAGCTGGTTGCCATGGGAACAAGAAGAGCCTCTTCTGTCTCTGCTCACACACAGCATGAAGGTCCATACGGTGGACGAAGAGGAGGAGGAGGAGTGGAGGTAAAAGCATGCAGAGAGGTAAACGAGTGGGAGCGCTTCTCTGAAGAAAACCTTCCTCCCACACGGATCCGCTCGTCTCCTCGCTTTGTGAAACGATTTGAAACCAAAGGAAGGTGTGAAGAACATCCAGACAGATTCAAACCCTCATTATGTCACCATCTGCTGCCAGGGATGGGGCTCCAGCTTCACGGGGAGGAATGAGGAGAAGATCATGGTCCAGTCAGGGATGAAAAGGTTCAAACGACCCCACATCCTGATCGCTCTGAGCTCCTGGGAAGCAGATCTGATGTTTTCAGACGTCTGACTCATTTTTCTCTCAGTGGGACAAAGGAAATCAGACCAGATCGAAGTGGGATAATAAAAAATGAGGATGTTGGAGCTTGGCCTGTTTTCCAGTGTAGTCCTGTTTCTCTGAATGTGACTAACTGGATGTGCTCTCTTCATCCTCTGACATGGGAGCTGGCTCGGAGCTCGTCTGCCTGGCTGTGTGTTTCCTGGACGGGGCTGGTTGACAGTTGCCTTTTGTATCTATGCTTCTTTTTCTACGTCTGCTTCTGTCTCCTTGAACCCCAGTCGGCCTCAGCAGATGGCCGCTCACACTGAGCCTGGTTCTGCTGGAGGTTTCTTTCTGTTCAAAGGGAGTTTTTCCTCTCCACTGTCGCTACAAGCATGCTTAGTGTGAGGGATTGCTGAAGAGTCAATGAGTCGATGCAATCAGCTGGTTTTCCTTAGATAGAAAACTTTGAATCAATCTGACTGGATGATCTGGTGACCTGCGATGACATGATGTGAATTCGAGCTATAGAAATAAACTGAATAGAATTGAAACATTCAAATGATTAAATCAAAATAAAAGTTAAAGTTTGCATATTTATGCTTGTGAAGAGATCCTGTTTAGTTTAGTAGAGTTCCATGTTTCTCATGAAGATTTCAGACTAAAACTTTCAGTTTACTGTTGACTAAAAAAAACCCAAACACTGAAACGTCTAATTAGAGCCTGAGAAGGAGGCTTAATTAGACTTCCTGGAGGCCGAACACACAAACATTCTCCTCCTCTGCGCTTTGTTTGTGTCTCTGGGAGAAGATCTGGATTTTCTGCCTGAACTGCTGCAGCTGAAAGCCAGCGGGTCCTCCTGGAAGCCGCCCTGTTTACCCTGCGCTTCATGCCGTGACACCGCCCCACCTGAGCACCTGCCTGGACACGCCCTCCCGCCAATCAGGCCCTTCGTTACGTAACATGTTGTAACAGGCTGTGTTTGCTTTCAGTTGACTGGAGGGAAGCTGTCATGTTCCAGGTGTTTTCCAGGTGTTTTCCAGGCGTTTTCAAGGTCTATCATCTGTTCCCAGTTCTGAGCTGCAGGAAGTGATGTCATCGGAAAGTTTCCCCCCTGCAGCAGGTTTTGTTTCTGTCTGGATATAAAGCTTAAAAGTGGTTCAGTCAGAATGCAGGTCAGGGAGCCAATCAGAGCGCAGGGTGTCACTGAAAGAGGGCGGGGTCTCCGCCAGTAGAGACCTTTCCACCTTCAGCAGGTGAAACCTGCCTGGTGAGGAAGAACCTGCAGCTCAAACCGTCCAGACGCCCAAGATCCTCTGCAGATTCTGAGGAGGTTCTGGCTCCATCAGCTCACTGGACCCTTGGAGGAGGTCCAAACAGACGCCCATCAACGCAGCGACCCGTTTCCATTAGAACTCATCCAAACGGACGCCCATCAACGCAGCGACCCGTTTCCATCAGAACTCATCCAAACAGACGCCCATCAACGCAGCGACCCGTTTTTATCAGAACTCATCCAAACAGACGCCCATCAAGCAGCGACCCGTTTCCATCAGAACTCATCCAAACAGACGCCCATCAAGCAGCGACCCGTTTCCATCAGAACTCATCCAAACAGACGCCCATCAAGCAGCGACCCGTTTCCATCAGAACTCATCCAAACAGACGCCCATCAAGCAGCGACCCGTTTCCATCAGAACTCATCCAAACAGACGCCCATCAAGCAGCGACCCGTTTCCATCAGAACTCATCCAAACGGACGCCCATCAACGCAGCGACCCGTTTCCATCAGAACTCATCCAAACAGACGCCCATCAAGCAGCCACCCATTTCCATCAGGACTCATCCAAACAGACGCCCATCAAGCAGCGACCCGTTTCCATCAGAACTCATCCAAACAGACGCCCATCAACGCAGCGACCCGTTTCCATCAGAACTCATCCAAACAGACGCCCATCAAGCAGCAACCCGTTTCCATCACAACTCATCCACATGGACGCCCATCAACGCAGCGACCCGTTTCCATCAGAACTCATCCAAACAGACGCCCATCAAGCAGCGACCCGTTTCCATCACAACTCATCCACATGGACGCCCATCAACGCAGCGACCCGTTTCCAT